TTCAGGGTCTCTCATAAACCCGCATACTCAAAGTCAAAGACACCTGGATCTTCCCGAAATGTGGCTAACCCCAAGCCATCTCTCATAAAGAAAGGAAAACAAAGGGAACTATCACCAGTTATTTCTCAAGTGAAGTTGGGCAGCACCAAAAATCAATCAAGAGAAAACGCGATGAGGTGAAATCCCCAACTTACTGGGATAACTCAGCAAGTGTCAAAAAAAGTAAGTTGGGTGTCACTGTGGATAACTCTGAAACTCTGATGAAGACTGATAGCGCAAAGACATCATCAAGCAAGTTGACTTGTCCCACAGTTGAAAGGTGGACGGGCGAAGACTTAGCTGATTTCCAGGCAGAGTTGTGGCTAACCTACAATAGAAAATTACTGTTCCGCATTGAAATGCCATGTATGCACTCAGTTTGAACCCATGAAAACGTGTCCTGCACGCTTCTCCAAGTGTAACAAGTGTTCAAAAATCGGTCATTGGGTGCAGGCTTGTAAAAGTTCAAAACCAGGAAAAGTATTTGAAGTTGCTTAAGGTCTCGGTAAATGAAAATTTTAGTACATTGCTCGATTTTGTTTTTTTTTTATTTTTGGCATGAGTGGGTCCTAAATTTTAATTTGGCAGAAAAAGAAAATCAGAAAGTGCTTTTTAACCCTTCTAAAATGAGCCTTTTCTGAGCTAACCAGCCAAGCGTGGACTTCGCGCTAAATCTTTAGAGCTGATTTTCTCTCACTCTATTTTACACGCAAAAATCAAAATTCTCCGACCTCCAGTCGGGACAGGTTTTAAGCTATCGCTTTGAAACTTTCAGATATGATGGATAATGATATAGACTCAAAAAGGGTGTGAGGAATTTTCCGATTTCCCTTTGTAACTCATTTTATGTCAGTTTCTTTGCGTAAATCGCGCTCGAGATTCGACTTTTTAGTTTGAAATGCAATAATTCCGCTAACACAAGACATCTGCAAATTTCCTCACACCCTTTTTTAGGTCTTTTATCTGTCAATCAGATGCAATAAAAAGGAAGTGAATATTTAACAACGCGAAAGGGCTGGAGCTTCAGCAGTAAACTCGATACCTCTGAGTTCGAGAACAAAAAACTTAAGCACCTTTTGAAATTCGATGAAATAAAATCTTTTATAAGGTAATTTAGTCTTTTAGCTTTAATTTGATATGTAACTTGCCTTTGTAGCGAAAATACTCGCGCGACTAGAATTTTTTTCTGTGGGCACCTCGTTTTCCTTTACCGAGACCTTAAGAGGAAGAATCTTTATTTCTAGGAGAAAGCGTGGACGTTTGTGAAGTCCAAAGCAACGCCACAGAGTCACCATGGATTGCAACCGTTCTTGTGGACAAGAAACCAGTTAACTTCAAGCTTGATAGTGGTGCAGATGTAACTGTTGTCCCATACAATACCTTCCTAAACATTGATGTGAAGATACAGCTTAAGCCTATTGATAAAGTGCCCCTGGGTCCATGCAATTACAGGATGAACTGTAAGAGAGAATTCACAGTCACTCTCGCTTACAACCAAAATTCCACAAAGGAAACCGTATATGTCATAGAAAGCTTAGCACGACCACTTCTGAGTAGATCTGCTGCAGTGAATCTAAACCTTATATCAAGATTGTGTGAACTGACAACGGACGAGTACAAGGCAAAAGTGATGCGTGACTACCCACAGTTGTTTGAAGGACTGGGTACCATGAAAGATGAGTACACCATCAAGCTAAAAGATGATGCAAAACCCTTTGCACTGAATGTGCCAAAAAAGGTCCCTATGCTATTGTATGAAGAAACCAAGCACGAAATCGAAAGGATAATAAAGAGCGAAGTGATTTCGCCAGTGGACCACCCAACTGAATGGTGTGGTCTAATGGTAGTAACCCTTAAACCAAATGCTAAAGTCAGAGTGTGTGTAGACTTAACAAAGCTCAATGAGTATGTTCAGCGTGAGAATCATCCTCTTCCCTTCGTGGACCTCACCTTGGAAAAGCTAGCTCGATGCAAATTCTGGGTTTTGGCAAATAAAGCTGGCCGAAATCTCGAGACCACTCACAACCTTCATCTCACCCTGGGGAAGGTACTGTTTTAACATGCTGCCTTACGGAATTAGCTCTGGTTCTGAAAAGTTTTCAAAAGTGCATGAGTAGAATTCTTGAAGGAGTTGAATGCAACATTGATGATGTTCTAGTTCATGCCCCCACCATAGAGCTACATGATTACAGATTACAGAAAGTGTTAGAGCGTCTAAGTGAGGCTGGTCTTACACTTAACATTGACAGGTGCACTTTCCGAGATCCCAAGATCAAGTTCCTAGGCAATGTTGTTAGCGCAAATTGTATTGAGGTGGATTCAGACAAAGTTCGTACCTGCACACAAGAATGTTCACGAAGTCCGTGTGTTTTTAGGAATGGTAAACCACCTAAGCAAGTTTGCAGAATATTTAGCAGACAAGACCAGACCAATCCATTTGCGCGGGAAAACAGCGTGTGAGAGAAAACTGTGTTAGTGGTCGCGTATGAGTCGATTGTTTGTTTGACTTTCAGTTCGAGTTCGACGGCAAAACGGGATTTTTTGAAGTTACAGTGCGACCCACGAACTGATTTAATATCTCTGAAGAAACAGCTTGACCAGGGTTTCAGCGAGGAAAAACAAAGCTATTGTAAATCTCTCTCCAACAAATACAATCAAGTTTCCCGTTGGATAAAACAAAAGAAGTCAACCGAAAATCCAGAAATGATCGACAAGGATGAGATTGGCCAAACACTTATTCTGGAGGACATTATTTTGGCAGATGAAACTAGCGGATTTCTTGCTTGCAAAACGACTGGAGATGGCGATTGTTTGTTTCACTCCGCCTCACCTATTCTGGTTGGTGATCAGTCCTTGTCTCATTTTCTTCGACTATTAACCACCTTAAGCTTTACATAGTGATTTCTCCTCTCAGCACCCCGCTTTTTAAGAGCATTTAAATGCTGGTATAGCCAATAGTTATGATAAACAAGCACTGTTCACCATGTGTTTGACTGCTGGTGGAATGGCTTCCTGCGATGGCAAGGATCGGATTAAAGCGATAAAAGCAGAGGCAAATCGTGGTTGCAAGGAGAGCGTGTGGCGTGGTATGTTTCATGTAACGGCACTCACCAGCGTCTCAGGAAGGCCACTGTATTCAGTATATCCGAACACAGGCAGTTGAATAAGGGACTTTCTTCACAAAAAGATTCTCCCACGCATTTTGAATGAGGGGGCACAAAACACTGTATACATCATGTGGACACAAGATGGAAGTCTAGATACAACTCCTGGGACCTGGTACAAACCGAACCATTTCATTCCTATTTTCAGGGTCTCTCATAAACCCGCATACTCAAAGTCAAAGACACCTGGATCTTCCCGAAATGTGGCTAACCCCAAGCCATCTCTCATAAAGAAAGGAAAACAAAGGGAACTATCACCAGTTATTTCTCAAGTGAAGTTGGGCAGCACCAAAAATCAATCAAGAGAAAACGCGATGAGGTGAAATCCCCAACTTACTGGGATAACTCAGCAAGTGTCAAGAAAAGTAAGTTGGGTGTCACTGTGGATAACTCTGAAACTCTGATGAAGACTGATAGCGCAAAGACATCATCAAGCAAGTTGACTTGTCCCACAGTTGAAAGGTGGACGGGCGAAGACTTAGCTGATTTCCAGGCAGAGTTGTGGCTAACCTACAATAGAAAAAAAACTGGCAAGGAGAATTACTGTTCCGCATTGAAATGCCATGTATGCACTCAGTTTGAACCCATGATCAACAACAGGCCGAGGTTCTCAAGAGCATTTATTGATCGTTCAACCAGCTGTAGACTTACAAATGTGATCGACCATGCTAAATCGGAAATCCACAACATAGCATTTTCTCTTTACAATAAGCAGAAAGGTGAAACGTCATTGACTGTAGAGCACAATCAACAAAAGTTGGATTTTAACTTAACTCACAACAGACTCTAGACCTTAAAAAGAAATTTGACATTTCCTACTTTGTGGTTAACGAACTGCCTCTCTCAAAATATGAAAAGATAATCACGCTTGAGAAAAGGCACGGTGTTCTGCATGGGACAGTGTACTCTAACCGAACAGCAGTGACAGAGTTTATATCCTTTCAGGCAAACGAAGTTCTTACCAAGCTATCGAAGGACATTTCTCAGTCAAAGTTTCATAGCGTCTTATTTGACTCAACCACTGACAATGCTGTTGCAGAACAGGAGGCAGTATTTGTCCTTTACTTCGATCCTCCTCCAAATGAGCCCAAATTAAGTAATGACTCAGAGCCAATGATTAAAGTCAAGACAGGGTTCCTACAAATACAAATTTAAAAAGTTCGGATGCCCAGGGAGTACTAGCTGCACTGAAGATGTCACTTGAAAACTTGGGACTTTCACAGGAAGGGGAAATCCCCCCTACCCCTGTTGGCCTTGGAGGGGACGGTGTTACATGTACATGTATCTGTAAGTTTTGCCAAATATGGCACACTGACTGCTTTGACCATATTTGGGCATAAGAGAGGAGCAAACGAGTTTGTTGGAGGCGACAGGAGTTTTTGGGGCAATGCTTAGCTTGCCCGCTTTGGGTTATGATTTTTCCCTCGTTTATGGATTTATATGGACATTGTCTTCGGACAATTACATCTGTTGATGTTAGGAACTGAACTGGAGGCTGTGCCAGCGGATACAGTAAGCTTTAAACTCTGTATTTACTCGTATCTTAGAGCTAGTTGTGTTCACTCTGATCGTGTATGTAGATTATATTCGTTTATAATAAACGTGTTGCTGTTGTTTGAATGTCGCTGGTCCCACTCGTTACAAATCTTGTTACACGTTCGTAACAACGGTTGTAGCACAAACAGGAGTCAAACTAGCGGCGCACAAGCTTTGTTTAAGAAATAATTTCCTTGGTCCGTTTTTTGATGGTGTGTAGCCCATTGATTAGAGCTTGCCCTTAAAGATGCTCTTAGCAATATGTATTTCAAAGAGGTCGACGAACTATTGTTGAGGCAGTATTACTTGTATGAGAACAGCCCAAAGAGGCTGAGAGGGCTGAACTCCATACTGCATACAAACAGACCTTTGTATTTGAACAGGGTTCTGTGAAATCGAAGAGAGCCACTGGTACAAGATGGATCAGGCACAAGCTTGATGCTTTAGAGATTCTAGTTGACAAGTATGGTTTATTTATTCAACATTCGGAAACATTAAGCTGTGACAAATCCGTAAAACCAACCGACCAAGCAAAGTTGAAAGGCTTCCTAAGAAAATGGAAAAGTGGTAAGCTGTTCGTCTACTCCTGCTTCTTTGTTGATCTAGTACAACCAACAGCTGTTCTTTGCCAGGCATTTCAAGTTGACGATGTCGATGTTGTCAGTTTCGCTCGCCATTTCGAAAGCAAAGAAACAGCTTAACAATGTTCAGAAGCTCCAAACACTTAGACACTACTTGGACAAGATTGACAACGACAAATATCAAGGTGAAGAGCTTCCAAACTTGGAAACAGCCACAACAAATTTAAAGGAACATGATGCATCTTTTGTGCAGTTGCTGCAAAATGCAATAGAAATTCGCTTTTGTGGAAATAATGACATAGCAACTATGGCAGACATCCTGAATTGAGAAGCATGGGACTGAAAAAGCAGTGGAAACGAGTCCATGGATCAAGTCATTCTGCGTCACCTTTGTCACTGTCAAGAACCTCTTAGACAGCAAGGACTTCTGGTATCACAAATCGAAGTAGTCAACGAATGGCATGACATGCTTGACTACATGATGGTGACAAATAATTTGTCACCATCATGCCATCATTACAGAGCAACATGGTTTAAAATTTTCAATTCTTCAAGAAGTTTTCAATGGCAGAACATTTTGCTACTAATTCGTTTACTGTTTAGCATTCCTGTACCTAATGCTGTGATGGAAAGGTTCCTCAGCAGTTTGGGACGACTGAAGAGCGTAAAGAGAGCTTCACTCTCCCAACAAACTCTTGAAAATATCTTAAGGATCCAGGCTGAAGGGCTACCAATGGAGTGCTATGACCCTAACAATGCCAACAAAGAGTGGGACGGGGCGAAAAGAAGACGGCCAAATCAGGAAGGAAAGCCTACAGAAAAAGGGTCCCTACAAAACGCTTTCATCTCAAAGAAGATTCTTCTGACGAACGTCCATCAAAAGAATCTTCTGAGGAGAGTCTTCTTAAGTGTCTTGTTAAGTTTTTAAGTGCGAAGTCAGTAGGGACTGATCAGTGAAATGATACAACTGTTAAAACTCCTGTCTGTGATTAATATTGCGCAATTACTGTGCTACGCGCGCGACCGTGAACACCAGACAAAACTTTTGACATTTTTTTGACAAGTTTGATGACCGGCGTGATATTGGCGGCAAAGTTAGGCCGTGAACCAGCAATTGACTGACTCTGTCGTTTTTCCTTTAGTTCACCTTTTGTGGAATAATATAAGCTTTGTAATTACTATAACACTAATCAAGGAAGGCTCTTAAAAATTCTACAATGCTACACGCTCGGGTTACAAGTGTTTGTAAGTAGAGTTTGTACCGTTTCTTTTGCCTTTGCTATAAATAGATGAAACCATTACGGCAAGTGTCTCCTAACAAAAGATATGTTTACTATTTTACGCCAGCTACTGTTCAACTGAGATTGAATAGGTACGGTGGATGTTTTGATAATGGCAGGCCTCTTCCTGAAATGCAAAGGGAACGAGTACATGTATTGGACCTTTATCATGATGGATTCGGTCACCGCCAAATCGCACGGGAAGTTCGTTCGAGTCCTGGCTTAGTCCTGATAGATCGACACAATGAACAAAATACATCCCTTAGAGCCGCAAGAGTTGACTATCCTAGGCCAAAAATTGACGAAGCAGCCTTAGAATATATAGAAGTACAGAAAGTAAGAAAACCAAGCATTTACTCGAGCGAAATACAACAGAGACTTTTATTGGATGGTGTTGTCCATCCCGCTAATTTACCTAGCGTATCACAGATCAATAAAGTCATCCGCAAAGATCTTGTGATGACAAGAAAGAAAATTATTGCCATTCCACTTGAATCCACAACCCCTGAGACAACAGCGGCAATTGATGATTTTCTCACCGAAATAGCTGACATCAACCCAACGACCCTGCACTTCTTTGATGAATCCAGTGTAATCAAAACTACAGGAAACAGAAAATATGGGAGTGCTCTACTCGGAGAGCCTGCTTTTGAAATACAGCGTTACGCGTCTAATGCAAATTTTACTATAAATCTGTTGCACTCATTTTGCGGCGTGGACTTTTATAATATACTGTAGAGCCCGTCTAATGGGATAGAAATGCTTAGTTCTTCAAGAGCAGCGAGCTGATGGAAGTGCAGTGCTTGAGCGCGGAGATTGCGTGATCATGGATAATTGTGGCTTTCACCACGGCCATCGTGTTGAACCAGTGCTCAGGGCCATGTTAGCGGATTGCGGTGTAAGACTATTATTTCAGCCACCTTACTCACCGCATTTTAATACTTGCAAATATTGCTTTAATGCGATAAACTCTTTTTTACATCCCCACAACACGCTAGCTGTCAATGAAACAAAAATCGCAATAGCACAGGCGATCCTCAACATCACGGCAGATAACTCTTGTGCGTATTTCAAGCACTGTGGATATTAAGTTAGGAGTTGGTCATTATAAAGTCCAGAAAACTGAAGTTAAAAAACCTACGTAATGCCTTTGAACACAACTTAAATATTTTTAGCGAAATCAATTCGTTATTTGTTGAACACTGTTGAATGTTGGCATTGTTGACCAGACCGCTGAAGCATGGCAGAAAGTACATAACTCAAACTAATCGCCACTAATTTCTTAGTGAAAAAAACATCTGAAACGGAACAAATGACTCTTACAGTCTCAACGCTACATGAGACCGAGAATAATAAAAGGTCTTCTAACCTTCTAACCAACAAATTAACATGATTAAAAATCTCAGAAGAAGCTAATAAACGTACAACATGCTTCATTCAAATAAGTGTACACTTCTTTTTGTTTCCATTCTACACGAGTTACTTTTATAGAAATGAAAAGGGAATATGAAAAACGCAACACAAAAAATGAAAAATGTCATAGAATGCTTGGAATAGTAGTTCATTCGTTCAAATAAATGTTTACATTCGAGTTGTCGTACTGTTCTATAATCAGTGGAAGTCTCCAATCTTCCTCTTCGGACCAATCGGGAACCTTTTTTATCGCTCTTTGTAAAATTATAAGATCTCTGTCCAACCGACTTCTGTTTGAGTATTTAACTTGGTTTTGCTTTTTCAGTCTAGGTCTCATTACGCAGAAAAACAAAACCTTGTAAAACCTTTGAGGTGGGCTTCCTCTTCTTGGGCCTTGTTTCAAGAGATCTTATCTCCTGCTGAAGTTGGCTAATTTTAGCTCTGTGCTCGGGGTGCTTTTCCTTTATTTTACCTGCGTTTATGTCCGTGCAAGGAGCTTTTGAACACTTCACTTTTGTATCCCCACAGCAATGACAGATGTTACACAGCCGGCCTCGAATTTCACTTAGAGATTGAAAATGCCTGGATTCACAGTTCAATTTCTCCAATTCGTCTTTGGCGCTAGCAACTTGTACTTTCAAAATATGCACATTTTGTTCAATTTCCTGTTGCTAGAAGTCCAAAGGACTTTTTTAAGCGCGGTTACCTGTTGTTGCTGTGGGACGCACGGTGTCTGGTGTGAAAGACAAATGCTTCGGTGGCAGCGACTCGTTGTCAGCTTCCGAACTCGGCATTCCCAGGTCGGTTTGTCTCATTTTATGGGGTAGCGGTGAATCTATTTCACTTGCTTGTAGAAATATTTTTTTATAATCCCGTTCTTCTACTTCTTTGGCACTTCTCAGCATTTCTCCAAAAGAAAAGCCACTTGAATCGTCCCATAAATTGATCATATCACCGTCTTCGTCACGCTAATGTACACGAATGTTTGAAGCGGGTAAGTGCGCAGGTGGCGAGCAGTTGCGTTCTATCTCCTGCATAAGCTTCGCGAAAGTGATATCCTTGATTAAGAAAGTGCAAAACCTTTCTTCTCCGTACTTTACCTTCACCTGATAAGCTGCCATGCTGTTTACTGAATTTTCTCTCTTTCGTAGCGCCGGGATGAACTTGTTGTTCGGCGGCGCCTTATTACAAGATTTTCTCCGCTGTGATTGGCCACTTGCCAGACATCAGACATCCCAACTTGTCAAAAATATGTCAAAAAAATGTCAAAAGTTTTGTCTGGTGTTCACGGTAGCGTGCCGAGCAGAGTAAAGCAGTTAAATAGGTTGTTTTGTTGAATTCTTGATTTTGTTCTTTCACTTGGAATTTTTTTTGTCCGACCAGACTGTTTCCTTGTCAGGTCAGGTCTGGTCTCTGACCTAACAAATGACCTGCTTATGGATAAAATTATTTGCAGCCTTGTTACGGTGTTTAACTTTTTGCAGCCAGTTTCTGAAAAAATGAAATATTGGGATGTCAAGAAAAAGTCTGCGAGAGAAGCTGATCAGGTTGGTCAAAATTTCTTTCATATTCTTTCATAATGGAGCTCAAACAAAGCCAAGGTACCATTCATTATGAAGAATTCGTTTAAAAAAAATTTCTCTATTATCTATTTTCTTTTTGATCATATACTATAGATGTAAAAGAGCAACTCGTGCAAAGCTAAAGAACATATTTAAGGTTATGTAATTTTAATCTGATCTACTTTCTTCGTTGTAGGAAGGAAAAGTCCGAAACAAGCCAGGGCCAAAACGACAAGTGCCATTGTTTGCCGAGTTTATTTTAGCTCTCGTGAGGCTTATTACAAGATATCGCTATCTTTATGTTCAAAATAAGGAATACATTACTGCCTTACAACATACTAGAACTCTTCTCGTCATCGCTCTCGAACTACAACCTGAGGAACTCGGACTTTCAAGTTCAAAGGGTAAAATCTGTTAAATATGGAAAGCATTCCGTCAGATTTTTTGGGCCATTTTTATGGTCAAAATTGAGTATGAAGGACAGAAACGAGACCTCCTTAAGCAGATTTAAAGCAAATATAAGGAGAAAAGATCTGAGCAAATTGGTTAGTGACAACGCATGCAAAGGGTGCCACTCGTGTGACTCATAATCCATAAACAGAAAATATCATAACTAGTAGAGTTGATATATTATAAAATTGTATACATAGTTTTCTCTTATTTATTACATAGGTGTATTTTCGAAGCGTATTGAATATCGTGTATCTTTTAAGTAGTTTTAGAACAGTTAAATCTTATTGGCTTATAGTATTATGTATATATATTTCTTATTAATAAGTAATTTAAGTTGTGTCCCCGATTAGTAAGCCTGACGGCAAGCTAGAAGATTAGACACTTAAATAAAGTTGTAGATTGATTGATTGATTAGACTGGGTTTGTTGGTTGGTCATCTAGCTGACATTTATTCATTTTCTAAAGGATCTTTATCTAAAATCTTCACAAGGACATTCTTATTGCTTGGACTACAATGCATCAAGTTAGGAGACATCTCCCAAAGAGTTTTGCACAGTTTCCTCGAACAAGAGTACTTATGGATTGTACCGAAATGAAAATTCAAAAACCCACTCGCCCATTTATACAAAAAGTTACTTGGAGAAATTATAAAAGATCAAAGACCTTTAGGCTTTTAGTTGGAATTTCTCCCACTGGTGCTTTCACATTTGTCTCAAAACTCTGGTCTGGAGGTGTTTCAGACAGAAACATCACTATAAAATCAGGTCTCATAGACACATTAAGACCTAATGATGATCGCATGGCAGACAGGGGTTTTAACATAAGAGATTTGATCACAAACAAAAGGGCCACTTTAAATATCCCTCCTTTCTCTAAAGGAGAGCAGCTTTCCACAAAAGCATGTACAAAAACGCGACGCATTGCAGCTGTGAGGACACATGTCGAGAGGGCTATTCAAAGGATGAAAGGTTTCAAGATCCTTCAGGGTGTCCTGCCGATGTCCCTGGCCTCAGTGGCTGATCAAACTCTTATAGTGTGCTGCCTTTGCCACTTAATAAAACCCTTGGTTAAATAATGTTATACTTTAGTACTTATAGACCTTTGCCGCATTCCTGTAAACAAAGGCATCACGTCGAGGCTTGGGTGGACAACACAGTGATTTGTATGAAATTGCCCACCCAAGCCTCGACCTCATTTTTTATGTTTTCTCACTGGAGCGGAATGCGGGAAAGGTCTATTCCAAAAGATGCATTCTCGATTGGACTTATTATCACCATAATAGTCATTCATATATACTGTCCTGATGGAATGGAAAACAAATTGACAGAACTGCTTCTGGCTACCGAATGTGCATTTTAACTGCGAATCAGCTTATGCCAAACAACTTAACTTGCCATTGTACAGTTAAACATACTTACAAACACCCTGAACAACTACAGTTTCGTTCGGGGTAAGCCAAATTTAACTCTGAGAAATACTATCTCAGGAAGCATAACTTCTTCAAAAAACCTAGTTAGTTTTAGAAGGATTGTATTCCAGAAGTTTCCTTCATAATGATGTGCTGCATGAAGAACGCCTTATTTGTGCCACATGCCATAAAGTAACCCCATTTGTACGTGGTAGAAAACATCTGATGACATAATTGGTAGCCTGGGTCACTCTGGGTGGGTAAATGAATGATTCTGTCTGGAGATGCTCCAAGAAAACCATGGGACTTGCTGATGAAAAACCCACACTCCTCCAAGGATACACCACTCAAACCTTTCTTGCTCATCTCTGAAATGAAAACTTGTGCAATTTAATCTTCTTTTTCTAGGCCCTCTCTAAAAGCAGTTATCGACGGAATGTCTGAGGAGCTCATTACTTCTTTTAAAGCCTTCGTTGGACAAGTAGTGAGTTTAAAACTGGTAACTCTTGCATTTGCAACTCAGGCAGAAATGCGCTCCTTCTTAAAGCGATACAAATACTTACTTTGTAACCTGGTTTTCTTTTCGAAACTCAAGAGCAGGATTTGTTCTTGCCATGTAACTTGGCCGTGCGTCAAAGATGGTTGCTTTAGGTTTACATGTACTTTTCATTTTTTTTTTTCTAATGGTGGGCCTGGTAAAATCCATGTCTTCGACAGGTGCCACTACCTCATGGAGAACTAGAATTATGAGAAAAAATCACGTGACAATATTTTGGGCTGTAAAGAATCGTTTATAAGATAAAAATAATCAACCTTCTTTCTTTTTTTGTTCTTCCTTGTGCATTTAAACGTAAGCTTATACTTACCCTCCAATACAGGGACAGTGAGCTGAATGAACTCAACCATTTTACTTTGTAAGTAGCCAGCCATCATAGGTTGGCTCATTGTCTATTTGAGTTCTCTCGTTCAGTCAGTTTCACGCTGAACTTTATAAGGTGGCAACCACAGAAAAGTGATTTTTTGGTTTGGAGGCTTTGCACATGTCCATTCCAGTGTAATCTACATCTTGCCAATGATTTGTAAGCCTTTAAACTTTCGTGGTCATATCCCTCATTTACAATTAAATATGCGTACATGTCGCCCACGGTGTAATTCAATAACAGCGAAAAATCTGTTGTCCAGTCCGAATGAAGCGAATAGGGGTCGGGAATGGTTCCCTCGTCCATTACCAACTTCACAGAAATATCGTTTTGATCCCCTTATTTATCGATGATTTCAATGGGAAGTTTCCGAGCTTTACCGCCCAAATCGAAAAGCTCATGGCGACGCTTATTCGCAACACTTATTCCTCGCACTTGTAAATACCCTTTCAAATCCGGTACTCTCATTTGGACGAAATTAGGCTCCATTTTATCGGCAAGATTACCGCTGCTTTCTGTTTTCAGCAGCAGAAATTGCCATTTTTTGTGTGTTGTAAAAAGTCTTAAGTCTGAAGATTTTTCGAGTTAGTTGTGATTTGTCGTGTTAATAATCACTGAAGTCCAGAGCAAGTTGTTGATTTAACAAAAATTGCGAAAAATCGTAAGTCTGACGATTTTTTGTGTTACTTACGAGTTTTTGCAGTTCTTTGCCATGTTAATAAACACTAAATCATACCGATTGCGGTTTTAACAAATTTGCGAAAACTGCAAAAATCGCAAGTGTGATGATTTTTTGAGTTACTTGCGATTTATCGCAGTTGTTTGTCACGTTAATGTTGAGTTTGCTCGTATTCATGATCACTTGAAACAAAACCGTTTGCCGATTTTACCAAATTTGCTACAACTCTGAAAAGTTTCCGCTTTACTTGCCATTTTGGCATTTCCCTTTCAGCACAATTAAAGCATATCTACACGCAAAAGCCAACGCAGCCAACCTTTAAATAAAGGTTTCTTATCTAAAGGTTCGAGTTATTTTCGTGAGATTCCATGGGGATCAACATTATTAATGTTTTTCAACTGGTCAAAGTTATTTATTCACATTGCATCTTGAATACAGCATCATTCACTTCAATGTAACAATTATTTTCACCAGTTCATCTAAAATATGTGGTCGTTTCGCCCTAGAGTGGATTCGCCCAAGGTTGCTTCGCCCGGACTTTTTAAAGTCGATTCCACCGATAAAAAACAACACTCTACAACACTGCTTATTAAAGATGCTTTTTGCTTGGATTATTTTGCCGCCATTACTTAAACAGGTCAAGCGTTCTGCATGATCTTAGAAATCTCGACGATTGCTAAGTTGATCTTGAATATATTTTGTTTCAAGTCATCCCTGCAAAATGTTGTGGATCAGTATATGCTGTCACTTTCACTTTGACGTTTATTCCTTGACAAATCAACGTCGGGCAAATCCACGAGTAATATACCTCGGGTCTTTAATACTCGTGAACCCCAACAACAACACTACACTCAAGTCTTAAATGCACATCACATGAAGCCAAATCTAGAGCAACTTCGACTAGAAATAGAGAGCCACTAATTGACAAGAAGGGAAGAAATATAAAGAACAGAAAGGAGTGCGTTCCACGATGGCAACGCGAAGTGAAATATGATAAACAACAATCTAATACTAGTAGAAGTTCTGTTGTGCGAATAATCCCTGTGAACACGTGCATGCCCAGTGACACCAGCAGTCGCTAATAAGCGACGAAATTTGCTGACAAGCCGATGCTTAGTAAGAGGAGTACCGCCTTCTGAGTCAGGCAAAGAAGGCGGAAAATATAGGGCGCAGGAACTGAGCGGACTATGCGGTGATGTGCAGAGACTGGACACAATGGTGAGTCTGGAAAACGCAACTTTTGCAGTTGCAAAGAGAAAGCCTAAAAAAAATTCAGGCTTGTATGGGATTCGAACCCTTGACCTCTGCGATAACGGTGCAGCGCTCTACCAATTAAGCTAACAAGCCAGCTGGGAGCAGGTTGTTAAATTGGTTCATTATAAACGCATGAAAAGATGATGATAAAGTTATGAATATACGAAAATCATACATGTGAGCTGCAGAGTGAAAAATTAAATGAAGGATGATCATCGCAATTATATACACAACTTTTGCAATTGTGAAAAGAAGAAAAGTGTTGGTTTCGCAATTGCAAAAGGTGCGTTTATAACTGCGATGATCATTCTTCCTTTAATTCTTCACTCTGCAGTTCACATATATGATTTTCATATATTCATAACTTCACAGGAATGTGAACTTTACGTTCCCCAATTGAATAGTCTTAGTGCAATGAAAAGTAACAATGAGACCAAGCTCATTAGACGCAACATCACAATGGGTAAGAAAACCTCTAGGATCAAATGTGTTACACAAAGGGACAATATTCGCTAAATGAGCCATAAGAAAAAAGGCAAATAAAAAGGCGAAAGACAGTGTGCAGGACTGAGCATCGTGTTGCAAATGTAATACCCTGGAAATACCAAGCAAAAGATCGGGTGTAACAAGAGGCACCCTACACAGCATGTGTAAAGCGTTACGTGCGATACCTAGCAAGGTTAAAGAGAGAAGAAAATGTTTACTGCAGGGAAATTCTGAACCTGAAAACAAATGAAACAGCTTAACCCCGACAAGTAATTGCGAACAGAAGGTGGGCTATTGGTACGACTTAAAAACTGAACATAAAAGCAAATAGTATCGAACTCAGTGGGCGCAGGTGTAAACCGGAAATACGAACAAAACAAAAGGAGGGGGGTGAATAGCGGTATGCAAATCCGCCGATACGTGGTATTTTTAGGCCTGATCCGTCGATCTGACTTAATTTTTGTTCAAATCCGATTCCGTGTTTAAAAATTTTTCGTGGTATATAGAAAGTAGCGTTGTAGCATGTAAAAATGAATTACTTAATATCATGATAGTTGATCTGTAATCGGAACAGATGCGGGACTTCATCAGAAGAAGTTTTCGTTACAGCTTCAAAACATTAAGTATTAGGGACAGAGCTTAAAAGGTTTCTTCCAACAATACAGATTTGACTAATCAAATAGTCTGCAAGCTTGCAAAATGAAAGTATCTGGTATTGCGTAACAGATTTTTCAATAAATTTACTTACTGACATCACTTTGGACATGCTTCTAGTCGAGCCGCAAAATTAAGAAGAGGCAAAACTCAACTCCATGGTAATTTGCTTACCAGTAAGTATTTTCCATGGTTCATCTTGGAAGTCTTGAGACCATAATCTTTTTCACATAAACATGTTCCCACTTGGCAACAGACGGGTAAAAGGGTTAGCCACAGCAAACTGCATTTGTTTTCCGGTGTAGATACAGAGTTTCATTTACTCGTAGTTTGTTTTGTACTCAATGATCGTCAATCCTAGCATTAAATATAAGGAGCAAAATCCAGTCTATCATTTCACCGATCAATTTGTAAATTTGATTATTTTATAGTTCATGAGTCGCTGACAATCCTAGCATTAAATGCGAGGGCCCAAAAATCCTGTATAACAGTCCAGCGGATGTGATTACGAAAAATAACTCTCATCTTACGAAATGAATGTGGTTCCTGCATGGTAATGGTTCAGGTGTGCACAAGGCTGCCAGACGTCATTTCCATCACGCTGTCTATACTAGAATACATGTATATGCGTCGGTCACAAGAAAGTCTCTTCCGGAAACCTCGGAAGTGGAACGTTAGCCAACAAAACACCAGCACATTGATCAAGGATGACCAAAAATTGATGATCCGATCCACAATCCGAACTTCTAGACTGACAGAATCCGGAAACCGGGCCAAAACTTTTAGCTGACCCGCGATCCCCGGTATTTTTCAAATCCACGAATCCGCTCTGTAAGCGCCAGGAATGTTTTCCGTTACCTTTATAGTATTTTTATGTTCGCCGCGTTCTTAGTTATTTTCGTGTTCGCGCCCTTAGTGCTGTTGCTTGGTTCATTAGTTTTTCATTGTCCGCGTAGCTTTGTCCTTCGTGTTAGGTTTTTTTCTGCATATCGTATATTTAGCCTTTATTGTAATTTTTCGCGTCAGTTCTTCGTTTAGCTGCGCTTGGTCCGGTTTACCGTTTAATGTTTGGGTTTTTACTCGTCCTAGTTTTTCGTCCTTATCTCACTATCGTCTTGTAAGTATCTCGTTTGTCTTATTCGCATTTCTAGATTGCCTTATTGCTTTCGTTCAGTTTGTAGGTTGTTTTATCTTGACTTTGTATTGGTTTAATTGTTATTTTTCAGTACCGCTATACTTCGCTATACTTCGTTATACTTCACATCGGTTCACTTGTTTCCCTTCACCAGTTGTAGTAGTTCTAGAATAAAGTTTGTGTGTTAAAACCTATAGCGCGTAAAGGCTGCGACTATATTCGTAAAGACGAGAGTTGTTGGACTTTGGACGATGTCTCATGTGGTTCAGGAAGCCAATTTGTCGTGTTCCGCCGGAAAAAATGGTCAAAGTGTTCGCCGTTCAAGTACCCGTTCGCGGAAGCCTAATTCTTCGCTGGATCAAGAAGCAGTTACAATGGAAAGAATCCGAGAACTTAGAAAGAGAAGAGGCGGAGTGCTCTCTGCCTTGACGGCCAAGCATAAAGAAATTGACAGCTTATTAACGGATGAGAACAATCTTGAAGCAGTCAAGGTGAAACTGACAGAGATTACTTCCCTTTTTCAAAGATTTACAGATGCACACGAGGAGTATAATACTGCCCTAACCGATGAGAGCCAAAGACAGGAATCAGTAGTTTACTTCACTGACATTGAGTCGAGTTTGAATTTCTTCTGTCAAACGGTGAACGACTGGTTACGTGTAACGGATACGGATTCAAGATCTTGATGTTACCCCCGATGACAGTGTCTCACAGACATCGTTCCTGTTAAGGAACAGGAAACGATCCGGTTGTGGTTCGGCGCACAGCCGATCTTCTCGAGCTAGTTCCATTTCTGTTGCTAGGGCAAAAGAAGCTGCGAGAATTGCAGAGCTTCAAGCCGAAGTGAACGCCCTAAAGCAGCGTCAGCTCATTAACGAATCTGAATTACTGCTCAAAAAGGAAGAACTTGATCTCAAGTTTAAAAAGGATCAATTAAAACTTGAAACGGACTTTAAGAAAGCAGTAGCCAGGGAAAGCGCGTATGCGAAAGCTGATTCAGAAAGGAACACGCGTGTGGCGTCTTCCTCGCTCACCTCTCGCGCTCCTCGCGTGGATCCGCGCACGGCAGCCATTTCTGATAGTTTTTCTGGAGATTTAAAGCAGGAATCATCTCCGGTCTTCCATGATGCCAATTTCAGACCTAGAGAACACAAGACTAAACACAAGGTTCCAAGTCAGTCCAGTTCAGACTCTGGTGAGCAGTCTGGCCTTAGTGACCAAGCCTTTCACATCCTCGAAAAGCAGAATCCTGTCATGGAGGAGTTTGTGAATCAGCAGCAGAAAAACACGCTACCCCGAAGGCAGGTGCCTATCTTTGACGGGAATCCACTCAGCTACTGCACCTTTATGCGTGCCTTTGAGACTGTAATCGAGAGTAACGAGAGTGATAGCGGTGGGAGACTGTACTATCTTGAGCAGCATATGAGTGGAAGAGCGCGGGAGATCGTGCGGAGTTGTATGTACCTAAACCCAGGAGAAGGCTACTCTAAGGCGAAGAAGCTGTTGGAGGCTAGATTTGGCCAAAAGCACAATATCGCGATGGCTTATGTCGACCAGCTAACTAATGGTCCCTACATCAAAGCTGAGGACGCCGAGTCACTGGAGGGTTTCTCAATTCTTCTGTCAAGTTGCACAAATACACTGAAGGCTATCGGATAGTTAAACAAGATTGAAGGTCCGGACAACATGAGAAAGATTATCGAGAGACTGCCACCTAAACTGCAGAGTAGCTGGCGGACCATGCTGATCGTATCCTCAATGCGGACAAGAGAGAAGTTTGTATCGAAGACATTGCGTCATTCGTTGAGGAGAAATCACGTGCCCTAAGTAATCCAATCTTCGGAAAACTTCCCTTCTTGGCTAAGGATAAGAGGAAGAGCCAGACACGAGGGACGAAATCAAAACCCGAGGGTTCTGGGCCTGGTCCTAGAGAGCTTAGTAACTTCTCCACTTCATCTCAGAAGAGTCCCATGGATCAAAACAAGTCTCAGGAGAAGAAGTCTGAAGATCTCTCGAAAAGGAGTTGTTTGTTTTGCCGTCAGAGCCATAATCTCGTAGACTGTCCAGCGTTTGCTAAAATTCCCGTCCGTGAGCGTTACGACTTTGTGATGAAGCAAAGACTCTGTTTCTCGTGTTTGAGAGGGGGTCATCAATCAAGGGGATGCTACAAGAAGAAGCGGTGTTCACACTGTAACGGAAGACATGCTTCGCCTATGCACTCTGATTCTTCAGAAGATAAGCACGAGCAGCCGACATCTGAGAATGCGAGTCAACAACCTGCTAGAGCCAGAGAGAAGGAAGATCAGAACAGATCCCAGCAAGGTGTTAATCAGAAGAGTTTATTAAGTGATGAGTAAGTGGCGTAGAGCGAGTCTGCAATTTGACGACCACAGCGGGTCCTGCGACTGCTTTGCCAATCATACCAGTAAAGGTCAGAGCACAAGGAAGTCCTTTTTGCATCGAGACTTATGCCCTCCTGGATACGGGTTCCAATTCCACTTTCTGCTCTGACATGCTTCTGGATCGTCTTGGCGTTGAAGGCAAGCATTTGAAGTTGAAGTTAACTACGATGGGTACGGCAAAGGAGGTTGATAGCGTCGTGGCCAGCGGTTTAGTGGTGTCGGACTTGGATGAAAATGTTGTTGTCCCATTAAGAGAGGTTTATTCCAGACCTACTATGCCTGTGTCTAAGGATGAAGTCCCCCAACAGGAAGATGTAGATAGATGGCCACACCTTAGAGGCTTCGTCTACCTAACTGAGCTGAACTCTCAAGTTGATCTATTAATTGGGTCAGATGTCCCAGAAGCTTTACAACCGAAAGAAGTTATTCCAGCTGTCGGAGGAGGCCCCAACGCTAGTAAGGTGGCGTTCGGTTGGGTAATCAATGGCCCAACAGGAAGAAAGCCAAGATATGTCCTTTCTGCTTGTTGCCTCAACAAGTCTATTGACGTCCATCCTATGTGCGTGGCGTGTGCTGACTTTGCGGATGCGTGTTTAAATGACGGCACAGGAATGTCTCGTGAAGATATGAAGTTCATGAACATTGTGAGGATGGCCATTACCAAGTTCGTTTGCCCTTTCGTAATCCAACTTTGACGTTGCCTGCTAATAGATGCCAAGCCGAGCGCAGAGCCCTCTCGCTGAGACGTAAATTCATTAAGGATGCCAGATTTCAGGAAGACTACGTTGCATCTCTTGAAAGCGTAATCCAAGAAGGTTTCGCTGAAAAGGTTCCCTCTGAAGATCTGTGTAGACCTGATGGAAAGGTCTGGTATATTCCACACCATGGTGTGTGCCACAGCAAGAAACCTGAGAAGATAAGGGTCGTCTTTGATTGTTCCGCTCAGTTCCAAGGGATGTCTTTGAATAGCGAATTGCTGCAGGGTCCTGATTTGACCAACAACCTGGTTGGAATACTGCTTCGTTTCCGACAAGACCCAGTGGCTGTAATGGGAGATGTACAATCTATGTTTCACCAAGTGCGTGTTCCTGTGGAGGATCGTGACTTTCTGCGGTTTCTCTGGTGGCCCGGTGGTAATCCCGCTAAGGGTTTGGAAGAGTACCGAATGACCGTGCATCTTTTTGGTGCAGTTTCGTCGCCTAGTTGTGTCAATATTGCCATGCGTCGAAATGCTGAAGATCACCAGCACGAGTTTTCGCCTGAAGTCGTTTCTACTGTTCCGAAGAATTTCTATGTCGACGACTGCTTGAAATCTCTACCTTCCAGTCATGAAGCAATTAAGCACGTTTGTGATCTGCACAACCTGATGAATAAAGGAGGCTTTAACTTGACGAAATGGGTCAGCAACGATCGCCTGGTATTGGAGTCCATACCTGTCGAAGATAGAGCGAAAGGAACTAAAGAGCTTGACCTAACCTGCGATGTTCTCCCAGTAGAGAGGGCCTTGGGTGTGTCATGGTTCGTGGAGGCTGACCAGTTTGGCTTTAAGGTGTTCATTAAAGATAGGCCGTGTACTAGGCGTGGCATACTTTCAGCGGTCAGTTCGTTATATGATCCTCTGGGTATGGCAGCTCCTTTCATTCTTCCCGCAAAGCTTCTCCTACAGGATTTGTGCAGACGGGGTTTGGGGTGGGACGACGAGGTCCCAGATCTTCACTTGACCCGCTGTCAGATCCATCATTTCTGCGACGCCTCTCAGGTGGCCTATGGCGCCGTATCATATCTTCGCTTAGTCGAAATGCAAGGTCGGATATTCTGTTCATTCCTCATCGGCAAGTCCCGCCTGGCTCCCTTGAAAGTAACTACCATCCCCAGATTGGAATTGACGGCTGCTACCGTATCGGTCCAGCTGAACAAGATTTTGATGAAGGAGTTGCAGATACCCATCGATAAAGTGACCTTTTGGACAGATAGCATGACCGTCATACGATACATCGCGAATGAGTCGAAGTGTTTCCATACCTACGTTGCAAACCGCATTGCCCTCATCAGAGAGGAATCCTGCCCGTCCCAATGGAGATACATCGACAGCAAATCCAATCCCGCTGATGAAGCCTCGCGGGGCGTTACGGCAGACGTGTTTGTTCGTAGTAGCCGTTGGTTAAAGGGGCCGGTCTTCCTTTTAACAACCGAGACTGTGTGGGTGGACCATGTCCAAGAACGCGCAGAGCTGACCGAGAATGATCCGGAAATCAAGAAAGAGCCAAAATCATTCGCTGTATCCGTCAGTGAAGTTTACGCAAGCGTTGTTCGTATCGTGAAACGTTTTAGCTCCTGGATGAATTTACTGAAATTTATTGCAGTGTGTGTTCGTTGCCAGAGAAGATTTCGATTAAGAAAGAGAGAGCCTGGCCTGAATGGTCACGGAAATGTTGGTCCCCTCAGCCTGAAGCCAATGTCTTGTCCAGACTTAGACTTTGCAGAAAGAGAACTAATTATGTTTGACCAGAGGAATGCATTTCCTGAGGAAATTGAAACCATCAAGAAAGGAGGCTGTGTAAAGAAGTCAAGCTGCCTTGCAAAATTAAGCCCAGTCCTAATTGGTGGTGTACTTCGCGTTGGCGGACGACTTAGCAGGGCTCCTTTACCTGACGAATCAAGGCATCAGATAATTATCTCCAAGGATTCTCCACTTGGTGTTCTGCTTATCAGGTTCTTTCACGAGAAAAGTGGTCACTCTGGGAGAGAATACGTGCTAGCTCTCTTGCGCGAGCAATTCTGGTTGATTCAAGCCAACACCACGGCAAGAAGTGTACTGTCGTCCTGTTTCCAGTGTAAACGTCGCCATGGCCCCGCTGGAGAACAGAAAATGGCTGACTTACCTCGTTCCAGGGTCAGTCCAGATCAACCCCCTTTTACATGTGTTGGAATTGATTACTTTGGTCCTTTCCTTGTCCGCCAGAAGAGAAGCTTGGTAAAGAGATATGGAGCTATTTTCACATGTTTGACTTTGAGAGCAGTCCATCTGGAGATTTCCCACACATTGGACACGGATTCCTTTATCTTAGCTCTTAGAAGATTCATTGCCCGCAGAGGTCAGGTTAAAGAGATTCGTTCAGACAATGGTACGAATTTCACGGGAGCTGAAAAGGAACTTCACGAAACCCTTCTACAGAAAGGTATTAAATGGGTCTTCAATCCTCCAGCGGCTTCCCACCACGGTGGAGTCTGGGAAAGACTTATCAGATCCACTCGCAAGATTCTTGGAGCCTTGACCAAGGAGC